ATTTTTTAAACTTGAGAATTCAGCGAATTACATTCCTAGTAGCATGTAAATTACATTGATAAGTATGCAAAGATCACAAGGTTGTTCATGGATGTATATAAATACAAATACTTGTACGTGTCAATACTTCTGCATTGAATATTTGGCACCAAACAATGGATTAATCTGGTGTGTTTGCCTGGTACAAAATTGTATGATGTGCGGATTTTACCATAGATCGATGGGATGAAATTCGATCTTTGTTGAATAATCACTTGTCAGTGTATACAACGTATAACAAACATGTTTCTTTAAAATCCACTTAATTAAACCGCCATATAAAGATCACCTTTGTGTAAAAAAATACTTCCTTTTGAACATTTGAGTGGCTTTTTCAGACAGGTTTGGCTTTTAAAATATCTGTCCTCCGAGGAACATAAGCTTACAATACATACCCATGTTCCACTACAGCCAAAAATATATATGCCATATTTTGTCAGCGGAGAAAATGTGTATTAATAAATAAATAATGAATGAATAAATAAGATAAGAAAGTATCATTCTGATCGGACAACTTGGTTCACAATTCACATCTTTTTAATCTTCTTTAATTTAGTACAATCACGTGGTCATGAAGGGACAATGAAGAGAAATATATGCATATTCAAAATATTATTAATGGAAATCATCTACAGACACATTGACAATAGTGTTTTATTAGGGTATCTGTTTTCAGGCTGTTGGATAATTCACCATTATTGGGAACACTTCTACAAATAAAGAGAAGAATGAGAGTACATTTAAATATTTAAACAATTAATGAAAATTGGGTATCATTACATGTAATAGCTGATATTCAGTAGTTGCGAGAAAATTGTTTATAGAAAAATTGATGATTTGATGATCACTGGTTCAGGTAAGGTATCCGTCATTTTCCTGGGAATTGTGTAAATCCAAACAAATAACATAGAGAGGTGAAATCTGCCATACGTAGAGTTGTGGGACATCTGCGACAGATGGATTAATACAAACAACGTCTCTTAATTTGTTGAAATTTATTATCCAATAAGTGCATTATTATCAAAGAAGTCAACGTTCATCAAAGAAATCAAATATCAAATAAATTTGCAGCTTTTGTTCTTATACACCTCAATTCAACAGGACTTGGGGTAAAAAGGAGCTTGAGAATGAGTTTATCTTAGACATGAGGAATTGAAATGCATATATTGACAAATATAGATTTTGAAGATAAGATCACTGTCACTACAAAGCTATAAAAACTTCGATAGGCCAAATTTATTAATATGCTGGTCACTTTTCTCACTCCTATTGTCCTATTTAATCTCTTTGGTAACTTTGGACTCTAGTGGCAAACGATTTAGCAAAACTATCAGCTGAAAATCAATGTGGACATAAGTGTTTCTTTTAATATCATTGTTCCGTGGAATATCGATATTTTTCCACTGTGTGCTGAATTAGGTCAATAGACCTTGTGGAACAAAACAACTATTCAGTGACGGGAATATCATTAGAACACATATTCCATTACTAGGATGGCCGATATTCGTTATCTAAAGTACAAACAGAAGCAATACTTTTTCCCACTGAAATCGAAGAGGAAGATATGTGTGGTGTTATTTATTGGACTCCTACATGTGTTGACTATATGTTGTGGTAAGTTACTAGCGTGGGAGTTGATCTGAATTAAACAATAATTTAATATGTAATAATTAATTATTCAAATTTCATCATTAAGGTCATGCTTCAAAAATGTATTGATGTTTCCATTATTTTGATATCTAATTACATTTTACGTATAATGTTGAAGTAGACGTTTGATGTATTTAATTGCACTTAAAGATGAAAATGCATAAGTAGTGAGACATCCTGCTGGTATCTTATTGTTATAGTGGAGTAAACTATGAAAGATATCCCACTCCAGGCACCATGTTCAAATTTACATCAAAACAAACTGTACTATCGATTTTTAAATGATTTGTTTTAAGTTTTATATCTGACGAAAAGGCACAATACCTGGTAGCGCGTGACTTTATTTTCCTGTATGTCTCGGAACGACCCTCTATTCGTAGACTTGCTTTAAGATCCAGTTATCAGGATCATTTAAGGACGGTTTCTTGGCGAGTACATTAATTAAATGTGGTTTGGATGCTGCATTGTTTTCGAGTAAGACTCCATTTGATTGTGCAGATATGATGCTTTATAGTTCTGTTTCATATACTCGGGTGCGAGTTCAATTATTTTCAGACCGGGTCAGTCAATTGTAAGGATGGAACATACATGTCCACATCGCCGTGCATCTATCTATCCGTAAGGTTCATGCACAACTTATGAAAGTACCACTAATGTACCACTCTAAGACAAACGAATCGCTAAGTGTTGAACTCTGGTACGCCTATTATGGTCTTCTCGTTTAGACTAGTCGGGTAAAGGTTTTGGATATAATCAACTCAATGGCATCAAGCTAATCTTTTTTAAAACATGTAGAAATTATATTCTCTGTGTTAACATTTACTATAATTATGTCACAGAACACAGGTAACCAAGTACATATTTAATAGATGCATAATTTCTTTATTTGTTTTATAAATCTATTGTAAAATAAAATGATGAGAGTACAAAATACATTATCAACTGCTGACACCCTACTTATGTCTTATATTCCGGAGGTGAGCATTAATCTGAACGTCCAAGACATTGTTTTAGTTGATTTAATTTTGTTATGGTTGATAGATAAGTGAACTTCACCTCCATTCGTTAGTTCTCAAATAGTTGAAATACTTTAACTAAAAAAAAATATAATACCTGTTCCTATTCTTCTGGGACGAAACCTATTGTTAGCTTGTTTAACGTCTTATCAACAATCTGTGATATTTTAGAACGGCGGTTCCCTGATGTACGGAAACTAAGGGTGTGTTGCGTGCGAAGATTTGCGTGTTTTGTGCTATTTAAGCATTTTGTGAATGCGAAAATAATGCTACCACAGTGAAGTAAATGCTGAAGAATCCATAGTAGGGCACACCGTCCGGTCATTACCTGACTACAAGGCTCCCGTTAAACAACCAACATGCTGAACGTTAGGAAGAAATTAATAACCACTATTTTTGAAAATTGTGGAATGTCGACCGGGGAACATCACCCAAATCATTGCAAAGAGTCGAATTGTACATGTGAAGAAAGGCGGTTACAAGGGAGACATAAGGAGGATGTAGGGCGTTTAGAAGTAAATGAAAGCCCGATTATCCCAATTTTAATCACCTCATACAATCATGAGGACAGTAGATACAATTCATACGTCCTACCTGCAGTGCAACAATATATGGTATAAGGACAGTTTGTAATAATGAGGATATTTTACACCAGTCCTAAAAGCTTATACTGATATGGGCATACCAATCTGCCCGAACCACGGCATTACCAGAATCACCTCAGAGCACACAGAAGTGGCGATTAGGCCTTGTATCCAACAACAAATAATACCAAACCGATATAGGTTGATAGAAATATTTGCTCAATCAGAGAAATGAATAATTCACTCCTCTTAACTCATCAGAGTGTGGGAATGGAACGGTACGCTGTAACAGTGGCTAGTGTGCAGCGAAGCGAAGTATTTCTTTGTTATATCTAGCCGACATAAAAGTGATGAAGGTGATTATCTTCATGTAATCATTATACACAAGAAACTTCAATAAAATACCAATATGGCAACATAATTATGATTCAAACTAAAAATGAGGCAAAATATGTAGAAAAGAAAGATTTACCCAGATACTCCTGATAGAGTACAAGGATAAGACCAGGATTTCCGGAAGAGTTGAGTTTTCTGCATCATCGACGACAACTGCCATTTATACCCTAGTCAATCCAAGTGAGAAATATAACTTTCTGAGATGAGAACGAACACAGTTTACCCGAGCAACGGTACCATCGGGCTTAACTATGGGATTATTCATTTTTCATTGAGTGACCAAGAATAGTGTATACGAATCCAAACAAACACTTTATGATCCTCCATCCACTTTCACATTCCACGGTAACAAATAGGAACTGCGAGGACAAGTCTGATGAGATAATTTACATATTGATTATATGAACTCGCTCTCAATGAAGTGTCAAAAACCTCAACGGGTATGAGCATGTAATTCACCAATGCGTGGCCATAACACCCCAAACGACCAACTTACCTGATATAACTCGACGAACAATACACGTTCGTTATCTTCCCTTGAACCTTACGGCTCATTGGTTTTAAGTACAAATGTATACAATGGCAATATAATACCAATACAATGATACGAACGCATCCGTCCAACTATTGGTTTATCAGCAGTGTTTAAATGTCGACATTATAGTTTCTGTTAATCTCAGGTTTCCGAGGAATATCAATATTGGTTTCACGGTGTGCTGAATCAGGTCGATAGACCTTGTATCACATATTTTCACATATTCATTCGTCGACGACACCAGTAAGACAGGTCGTTAAATTACAGGTTACATGTTAAATCAACCTTGTTCAAGTAAAATCATAAAGTCATACTATTACACTCTTAGAGACAAAGTGTTGTTATTCGTTTTGTTTAGCTTTCGACATCTCTAAGTGATATTGGGAGCATGCTATGTGGACGAAGGAGTGTTGCTTTTTCGAAACAGGAAAAATGCACCTTCACAAATGAACTTGAGATTCATGCGAAGGTCTTATAAACCTTGTATGAAAATGAAAATAACCTTGAGAAGAACGTAACCAATACATTAAATTGGATTTTAAATGGTTAATAAAACGTTGTCTATACTTTTGTCGGTTGCATTTCCGTATTAACCCATTACTAGTATTTATTTTATCAGTATTTTGGAATGACGTTTCACATGGTAGCAGAAACGTTGTGGTAAGACTGTGCAGTATATGTCATGATGTAACCATAATCAGTATATACAAATCATAATATTAAAAAAAAAAAGATTAATTTCCCTTATTATAACAAACGTGGTCTTTCTTAACTCAGAGGATGGGACGTATTTTTTCCTCTTTTTCCATAGGTTGCGATTTCTGTGATTTTGATTTGGTGACTGGTCCTTACGGTGTTACTGACGATGCGCTCATGGCATCATCTGCTCATATTGATTGTCCTTTACTAAATGTGCGATTCAGCAGTGCCCGAGGATGGTGTCCAGAACATTTTGGAAACGGACACTATGTTCAGGTAATACTATATATAATTCAAACACAGATGATATACTTAAATCTATATGATAGAAACAAAACTGTTTCTCTAACTGTCAATTGTATATCGGATGAAACATTAGGCAAAGGGTTATTATTTGCCTTTCATACATGTCTGCCACACCACCTGCATTTAACACGACTGTACACACTGTTGACATGGAACAGTCGTGGAGCAAAATATTATTAATATTTTATGCGATTAATTCGTTTAAAATTTGAAATACACCAATAAAAATTTGCAATGCCAAAAAAAAAACCCAGCTGAGATATAAATAATAACCATTGCCATTGCTTACACATGCAGTAGAATGTACCTGATAGATTTGAATGAAATCCTGACTTGAGAGCGTGAAGTAAAAAAAAACTGCTTTACGATCATTATGCTGATATCTAACAATAAGATAGCTTGTTGTCAGGACTGAATGAAAACAAGTCATGCTTGGCTTTTGATTAAAATTTTGATCCTTCTAAATTAGCGCATAATATCAACCGTAAGTATATTAATATTTTTTTTAATATTTACAACACAGGTGCACTTTAAGACTCTTTCAGCTGTGAAGGCAATACAGACTCTTGGACATGGAGAATACAGTCAATGGGTGACTTCATACAAGGTCAATATCAGTTTGGACGGAATCACCTGGGATTCCATACTAAACTCCACCACCGGTCAAGTAAAGGTATAAAACCACCTCAACGGTATAAGAGACGTAACTCTGATACTTCACAAATGTTTTCATATTGAATGACGTACATACGTTTATAGCGTGGTAATGATTTTTTTTCTACACTCTGCCAAAATTTTGAATAATCTATACTAAACAAAGAAGGAAAGGTAACAGTACTTTATTCTGTGATTAATTAATTAACCCCTTCATAAATCCTTTCCAATCATGAACGAATAAAGTAATTGATCAATTCTGATAAAAATGCAGTCATGGTTCATTATAAAACTTTGCGTTCAGTTGATTTATTCGACTTTAAAGGACGTTGGGGTCAATTTCAAAGGTAACACCACTAGTAACGGGTATGGCCACCGTTTGCGAAGTAAACAGCATTGCAGCGTCGTCGCATGGAACTCGTAAACCGGATGATAATTCGAGGGAAGATGTTGTTCCATTCAGCGATCAAGGCTTGGGCCAGCTCCTGCTGATTTTGACGTTCTCTCACGCGTCGCCCAAGAACGTCCCAGACATGCTCAATCGTTGACAAATAAGGTGATTTAGATGGCCAATCTAACACCTGTACGTTATTCTGATGCAAGAAAGTTCTGCTGACGTGACTGGTGTGCGCTGGTGCGTTATCCTGTTGAAAAATTGGCGCCAACGCCATGGCGTTTCCAAAATGGCAGAACCACTGGTCTTAAAATTTCGTCCCGATATCGAATGCCGGTTAAATTGCCATTTAACACAACAAGCCTGGTATGAGTCCCCCCACAAATACCACCACAAACCATTACACTTCCGCCGCCAAAGCGGTCCCGTTCTGCGACGCAGCAGTTCGTAAAACGCTCCCCTCATCGCCTCCACACTCTACGCTTTCCGTCACCGTGTTGCAGACAAAACCTGGACTCATCTGAAAACAGAACATTGTTCCATTGTCGTAAGGCCTAACCACGGTGAACACGCCGATTATTACGATGACGTCGCAACAAATTGGGTCCAATTGGTTTAATTCAGAAAGTTGAATCCCGATACTCTCACGATCATTTCCTATATACACAATTTTGATTACACCCTATGAGGAGGTGATTTGGAATGAGTTGATTACCAGATTACTTTTAAGGCCCAGTGATCTCTTGCTTACAAATATTTGTTAAAAGTGCTTAACGATTTTTCGATATTATCACAGTCCTGACAAATAAACCATTATTACAATGTCTGAATTTCATAAGAATTGCTTCATTTTCATTCATATCGTTGTCATAACTTTTATTTAGGTATTTCCTGCAAATTTCGACAATGACACAGTCGTAACGAATACACTGGAGACAAATGTCGTTGCCAACTACATCAGAGTGATAAGTCTTTCTCAGAGGAAACATACCTCAATGAGGCTGGAGGCAAAAGGATGTCCGGTATCCATTCTTCGTCAAATCGGTAATTTTAGTAATGTAGCATACCTGCTTCTGAATTCCATCTAAACCTCCAGAAGTACGATAAACTCCTTTATGTTAACATGGATCAATGGCAATCAATCATGAGACAATGACAACTTGATAATACAACAATAAAGCAAAAATATAATGGAGTAATTAGTTATACATTATATGACAACCAGATCATACCACGATGAAAAAGAATATATTTAGGTTGTTGTACATATAATTTGAGGACTTATAGTATGTCTTAAAATGATAGTGATTGGACCGTTTGATCTCTATCAAAACAAGACAAGCAAACAATGAAACAAAGTCAATAATATTCTTTTCCATTTACATTTTGTAAATGTTATTTTCTGTTCAGAATTCATATTCAAATGCCGTTTCAGATTATCTTGGCCCTGATATCACATGACATTTGTCAAAACTTGTTCACTTAACTCTTCAGTGTGGAAAACGAAACCCAAGAAAATAAATCCATTTACAATATATGCATCATGTAACCAAATACTGACATTATGGAATGTTTGACAAAATCATTAACAATCTGAAATTTAGTTTAATTGAATTGGAAAATAAATTCCATTGTGATTAAGAAAAGGATAAGTATTATTATCGTTCGTTTCCTCTGAAAAGTAATAAGTTTAAAACAGAAATGTGTTGGATTTTTTTAATGTTTTTGTATTTAGTCAATCGACTGAATTAACTTTCCAGACACATGCCGCAGATGGGAAAAAAAGTTGGGATCAAGCGGCGACATTTTCCCTGTTCTCCTGGACACGGACGCAACGAACCACGTAGATTGTGGATTGAAGTGTTTCGGACAGATGGATTGTGACAGCTTCCTGTTTGACGCCTCCTCGACCCGCTGTAGATTACTGAAGGTGACAACTGAATATTCAAATACCAGTGTAGACCTCGATGGTGTCTGGTATTTCAGAAAAATGCATTGAGATTGATTTTTATTTGATATCGCGTCAACCGTATTCTAACTTAGACTTATATCGGTGGGTTTTATGTCAAATACTAATGGAATATTATTTTAAACTCATCTGGTCTTAAGAAACAAGGTTAGTTTAGGCCCTACCGTTGCTACCATCATCCGTCAACATTAACTTTAAAACAACACATGCATTTCTGAAACTTTAGATGAGTGCAAAGAAGGAGAACCAAGGCTTCTGTTGGTTTTCCCTTCCTAAATAGCCGGAATGGGTTTTGATCCTCAAAGAGTATCTCGTATTTACCATACTTGTCCAACCAGGAGCATCTCACAATACATGAAGGGGATTGGAAGAGCAGGACGACAGGGCCAATCAGCAACTGCTATTTAGTAGTTTGATAACCAGAACATTGCTAGAAACTTTCACGGCATCTCAGCTGAAATTGTGAATTATTGTCAGATGCAACATGTTTGAGGAATTCCATCTTGTTTGTCTATGGGTTCATGGTACATAGTGTTGTTCAGGCAGCAGTTTCCATTGCATTGAGATAAACTGAGTCATAATCTTGATCATTTATAAAATAACGTGATATGTAATGAACAACAGTAGCAGTTATGTTCAGTGTTCAGTGGATGGTTATCATTCAATTTTAGTTATCTCTATCTTATGGCTCGTTTTAAAATTGTTAAAGTAAAGAATAACAATGATTTTGTGTGATACAACTTTTTTCTTTGCGTTTATACCAAGTAGTCAAATCCTGTAAGTTGCTTTACAAATCGCTTCATGTACATTTAGTTTACAAAGTATTTCAGTACTTTTATCATATCTAGATGAAACATTTTTAGATTTAGAATTTGAAATTAACTTCATATGTGAAATGTGCTTCGTTTTAACTTCACTGTATATGTATATTTACAACTGGTACATAACTTTGAAAAAAATACCATTACATTTAAAATTCAATTTATGTAAAGAAATATATCGCAAATCAAATATAGACTATCAAGTTTATAACAGTTACCTGGATATAAAACGATATGAACCAATTTATTGATATAATTTGTTGTAACCACTTATATTAGATAATTATTAGATACACGCAGTTAAAAGTTTCTTAATTCAGCCAATATCTCTTTACTGGTACATCAACAAGTAGTGATGGAAATCAGTTTCAGTTTCAATGCAGAATTGAATACATATTATAGATTTTAATTCAAGATTTGTTTCGTGTGTTAACTGTTTAACTTTTTTGTTGTTTCTTGCATTGAAATTACATTAGAATGTATTAAAACCTTTTTTTTCTAAAATGAATATTATAAGCCTTACATCTGTTACGATATAGGTATTTGTAGTTTCTACTTATTGAATACCAGTGTTAAAAGCATTTCAAGACAGTGGTGAATTACCGCTGAATGATCACATAAAGAAGTATACTTGAACAAGGCATTTCTGAGATATGGAAGTATTTGCAAAACTCTAGCGAATACTTGTCATCGCAGCTGTAGCATCAATCAATTGATTTTACTTCTTTAATAAATTATTTTTTGATCGTGGTCTATTATCAGTCCATCACTATAGTAACAATCTGAGAAGGATTATAATTATGATGATACATGTATCTATGAAATTTCTGATTTTTTTGTATCGTGTACATATTTACATCAAATGCTATCAGTATCTATCAGGTATATTATGATAACTATGTTCAATCGTCTGGATACTAAATATCCTGTCTAGCTGGAATGTGTTATTAATAGCTACTACCCTGCTGGTTTCTATGATGTTTTTATTTACAATTCTTAAACATATAATACTAATGTGTATTTTAAGAAATTTGGTCAATTTGTATAATTCAGTTGATAAAAGTGAAATTCTTACAACATATACAAATTTATTTTGTGCGGTGGCCATTATAAGTAACACGAGATATAGTCATATCGCAGTTCTCATCAAACTTTTCTGGTTGCATACAGAATATTCTTGTACTAGATCGCTCATTTACATTTTGTTGAACCCATTCATGCATATTTATATAGGAACCTTGTAGGACGCGTCAGTGATGACGAGGTGAGAGAAGATGTTGACTTTTCAGCATATAGTCAACATTTTCCACCATATATTTACTCAGTTGGGAATGTGAATAAACGAAATGTACAGGATGTTTGCAGTTAAGGACAATCCTTAGTAGTTTCATAACACATCTTCTTTAGCATCTTCATGTGCATCCTGTAGCATAGATTTTCAATCAGATGTTACACTTGTACACATTCACTGTGGATGGATATTTTAGCCCCAACCTTTTCATAGGTATAAAAGCAAATTAAGTCCTTCAAGGGTTCATGATGTCCTTCTATTCTAGAAGTGTTTTTTTCATAATTACCCAAAAGGCAACGTTGAGGATCGCTTACTCTATCTTCTATCTTGAAAATGTCCAAGACTTGCTCTGTCATTAAGCCTTCGGCCACTGCAGGGGGAAGGGGTGTGGGCTCTGGCTTGTATAGAGCCTTGTAGCATTTCTGTAAATAAAACAAGATGTAATTATCACAAACGCTTCGAAATGCACATACTTCAATTTATTAGAATAGTTTTGATTTGTATGTTTGTATAACATTTTTAAAACAATTATATTATGTCTAGAGGCATTTCTCACACCTTCATTAACACGTATACAAATGATGTCTTGAGGAAGAACTGGCAAGCTGATGAGTCAGGCAGATGGCTCATAGGCTATTTGTTTTCCTCCATATGATATCATACACCATGGAAAACTGTCATAAGCTGCGTATTCCTACTTAGATACAACTACTTGAAATCTTTTTGGGAAGTGTGTTATACCTCTAATATAACTTGCCCACATTTCACAAACAACTGGATGGAGGTCATCAAATCTCCTCTCAGGAGAAACTGACAGTGTTTGGGGAATTTCTTTTTTATTCTTTGAGGTGTACTCGAGTAAGCTGGTCTCTGACTACTGGAACTTTTATTTGCCCAAATATTATTGTGTGAACGGGAAGTTAAGTTTTAAATAATGTTTTCATAAATAATTGAAATGCATCAATATCATAAAAATAGACTTAATTACCTTATGGAACATCTTCCAATAGTAAAAGAATTATCAAATTAGTTATGCAATAATTTTAATAAATTGTTTAGCTTAACATAACCTCTAACTTGACAGCCGTATTTATTTCTGTACATAATTCATAAGGCAGGATCTGTAAACCCATACTTTTTTTATTAATTGCTACTCACTGAATGTTGTTTATGAGTGTGGTTTTGTATGTGAAAATAAATTTACTTTTATAACTAATCAAATGATATGTGAATCATTATGTCACCACTATGTTATAAAAAGTAAAATGTAAATGAAATATAGACTTCTGCAATTTTTGATACCAAAGATCTTTTATGAGTTCGGAGAGGGTTGGGTTGTAAAGAGTGTTTGACCATGTCTGTCCATCCATCCTGTTTCTCTGGAGAGATTGAATGGTCAAAGGTTGTCCATGCCTTACAGATATTTTATGTGTATAACTTTACCAGTTCAGTCCCCTAGCTATTTATTAGAGCCAGGCATTCATCATGCTTTGCTTTATTTTTAAACAGTGAGGGCAATGGAAACACTGTTGACTTTTCAACCTCCTTTTGAACATGTGGATATGTAATGTGCGATGCTAAATGTGACTTTAGAAATGCTTGGAGCCGTGCCATTATTCTTCCAATGGGAATACTATAAACATCATGCAACCGATTGCTCTGGACATTTTATAGAAGGATATCCCCAGCAGTAATAATGGTGAGATTTTGTACAGGAGACTGATTGTCAATATCCATCCTGGCACGGCGACTGAGATGATGTTGAAAGATGATGAAAGATGTTGGTCTACATTATAGAAAATGACCAACCATTTTAATCTTTTGTGAAAATATAACCATTTAAGATTTTTAGCATTGATCTTTTAGCTTTTAGTTCGTTCGATGTTATTTCCTTTTTAGATCGATGTGTGTTTCATCAGTTCATGGCCCTAATGACCTTTTGGTTTTGACGGGCGATTAAGATAATAATAATAGTAACATTTGACTTGTTCTCAGAACTAAAAGGTCCATTGTGCTAATATTGGCATTTTGCATCCTGGGACATAGAGTTACAAAGTTTGTCACTGGAACCACTTTCATGGACAAAAGGGTCAAAAATGTTACTCTCCGATCTTTAATCCGCTCAGGTGATCATTGATACACATGGGCCTCGCGTTATGAAGCAAATACGTACGATCAGCCTCTAATTGAACACAAATATAACAAGCATTTGCAATTTTAAGAGGCTTTGAACAAAATATTCTTTTACAAAAGTTCTTTTTAGAAACGTTTTCATTCATATCAATTACCGGTGACTCCTGTTAATGGATTCCTCCTCAATTTCTTCACAATCAATTTTTCAAATTTAATGATAAATCCCGATCTACCAAACATTATTCCTCCTACCAAAACAGAATCCTGTGACTCAAGGGAATTGATTATCTTTTTCCTAAATACATTGATATTGCAATTCAAATCGATCATATTTCCTGAATACGACTATGTCATTGACAAACATACAACTAATTTCATTTCCAAAGTACAGGTTATTTGATTGTAAAATCAAAGAGGCAGCCATGCATGTCACAGTGCTTTATATGAAATGTGTTAAACAACGCATGCTTACATTATAATACATAGTAATTCATTTTACCGTTCCTGAATACCTCCCGTGATGGCAATCGCTTCAATAAGGCGATGAAAGGCACTTGATGTATTTGTGTTTCATCATAATTGAGTATGGAGCAGCAAGACTTAGAATTATACTTGGTTTCAACATACCATTTTCAGGAACAGACACATTGAGCATTGCGTCAAAGAGCTGTGGTACCCTTTTATGTGAAACATTTAGTGTTTGTTTATTATAACGTGGAAAGATGTTTAAATATTCAAAAGCATATTGTAGAAACAATACAGCTGACAAATCACATCCACATGTC